TTAACCATCAGAACAGATTAAAACATCACATGATCTTATGAGACATTCTCCTACAAGTGGCGAGTGAGTGAGTGAATACTGTGTTTGCCATATCAACAAATGAGGTGAGCACAGAATAACATGAAATTTTAATTTCATGAAGCCTGAAATTATTCACAAAATCACAGTGGTATACTATCTACTTGACCAATGATAACATACCCATCGAGATGTTACCATGATAACAACAAAAGTACATCTGGAACCATACAGAGTATAATCCTTGCCAAAATAATTCTTGCCAAATTTGGCTCACCTTCAGGAGTCACTGGAACCATGAATAACACATCCAGTGACCTACAATTGAATGTCAATATGTATCATGTATCATACATGTATCGTGTATCATGATACACACATGTATCATGTATATAACGTAGAAATGTGCAAATGTATAGATTATCATAATACAAGAAAATACATCACATACAAAATCTTTAAAAGTTTTGGCAAGTCTAGTAATCTTAATGTCTCTGGATGGCATTTAGAAGTTATACACGTTGAGGGGAATATATGATGTCAGCCTCTTTAACATATGGAACACAATATTATGGTCTATATTCTTACTACTTCATTCATCTGACAAAGGAGTAAGAATGTACCAGCATGGAGAATGATTAGTCTCTCTCCTTTCCCTAGAGGCAGCTTTCTACGTGACCCCTTATCACCCCCATCGGGTACCCACTGACTGCTGGCAGTGTGCGAGAAAAATTGTGTTCCAGGTATTAAAGAAGTTATCCATAGCTTCCCTCTTGATGTACCAATCTTTTTTTGGAGATGAAGTAACTCTCAACTTTCCTATCACGACTTATATAAAAATACAATGTTACAAAAATATCTAAACATAATTTCATTTCAGGGGCATTATCTTAGTCTGTCTTCATGTACATTGTCTTGTTTATATTGAGGAGTTACATGTTATAGGTGTACAGGCTGGTCGACTTTCCGTGTCTCTACTACTAGATGCATGTGGCAATGAAGTGCATAGAAAACATATTTCAGGGCAGTGAAAGGCTTGTTCATAAAACAGTGTACAACAATCAATTAGTCTTGTTCATGAATGTATCTATAAAAGCTCTATCTATGCAAGTTAATTATAACTACTCAATCCATATTCTATACCGTACTTGACATATTAAGCAGTCTACTAAAACAAGCAACACCTAGACCAATGTCTCGACTAATCTGTGTAAATAACCATGTATAAACTGAAAATGTATTACATTCTATATAATCTTGGGCATGATCCACTAGAGTACAAAACCAACAGCACTGACCAGGTTTAGAATTGCAAACTAACAGATATTGAAATCGTTACTCTCATTTGTTATCTGGAGACATTTTTAACACATGTATGATTTTAATAAGCGCTCTATTTCACAAGTTCTCACAGCATGTATCACAGTGAATATGGTAATCAGATCATCCATATATGCAACACTTGTAAAACCCATGAATGCAGTACTTGACAAAAGTATTATTCTCACTGTCAACATGCACAGGATTTGCATGTTTTGATAAATACAAATTATGGTGACTTCATTTATCATGCTGAAGCTTTCTATAATGGCTTTCAGGCCATTGAGCATCTTTGGGAAGGGCAGGTGAAAAAATCTGTAATTTATTTTAATTCAGTAATAAATTAAAATTGTAAAAAAAAATTAATTCCAAATTTCATTGGAATTGTATTTCCACATTATTGATTTTTAGGGTAGGTGAATCTGTAAAACAACAAATAGAACACAAAGTGCCTCATGTCAAATTTGAGATTCTGTAATCTGATTTGTGAATTTGAATTGTTAAAAAACATTGTACTGCTATCATAGAGAAGTTTGTCTGTTGTCACAACTTGGTGCAAAGACAAAAGGACGATAATGGCTCTTTTTCAACAAATGGAACATCAAAATTCACAGTTGCAGATAACTTTGAAACACTTGTATGTATTAGATGTTTAAATGGGTGACGTCTTTTTTCTTAAATCTTTTAACTTTGTACATGCTCAAATACTCCAATATGTCTAATCTCGGAATAATATAAACAATGATGTTTGTCTTTGTATTGCACAAGCCTCAACACACACATGGCTGAAAAGCACTCACATATTTTACCCTAGTCATTAGATCAGTGAACAATCAACATTCATTCTCAGCTTCCTAGGGATCATACCATGCATACTGCTTCATCAGGTCCTTAACAGTCACATTAACAGAAGTAAGGGCAAGTCTGAGACCCCTGATGAAATGTTAATCTCGTGTGTGTAATGTTTTCGTGTTATATGCAATATAAATCACCATGGATCAATGCTTGCTCATGTTCAAATATTAGATAAACCATTCATAAAATCTCTAAAATCAGCCTGTCTTACACATTTCATGCTTACATTTAGTAATGTTCTCAGTGTGTGAAATTTATGCTGGTCCTGTGGTCCGTGGCTAGTAAATATTCATCAGGGCCACTAAATGATAAGTTTGCAGTGGTACTGGTGGCAAGTGAATTTTGTACTGATAGTTAAGTAAATCTATGAATGTTATTTTGGACAAGTGAAGTACAGACAGGACCACTAATTATCATGATTATTGTCCAGTCGCTGGTCCTTTCATCTTGTGGGACATTTTGCAAGGTTTCTTTCCCTGGTTCTAAGTCCCAGACATGCTATTATTGAAGTATTGCTCAATCTTAAACTGTGCAGATCTTGCGTCCTCTATCCCGCCATGTCCACATCGATGGTCTCTGCTGGAGCTACCTTGTGGCTTCCATATTACTTCCCTTATTAATATGATCTGGGCCAAATAAAATGTCCGTGAAATTCAGAATTACAGGTTCTATACCGTTATGACTGAACATGGTTAGACCCTCATGAATCACTCACTGAACTCATTCACTCGAGAATCAGTTACCTTTCATGGCTTGTCGGTTCATTTGAATTCTCAAAATCACTTTGTATTCCTTGATTGATCTTCACATAAGGCCAGTCTAAAACTATGTATACTAATGGAAGAAAGTAACTGTGCATAACATCAAATTGCATAAAATAACATTATTTGAAAAGTTAAAAAATAACCCTAAATAAGCATGTAGCAAAGCACTTTGCATGAAATTTGATGTCGCGTATCACACATGGCACGCACACTCTGTGCACACTGCACAATGAACTTACTCACTTTTTGCATGCTTTCTGACAAGCCTGCATAAACGCCAATGGTGGACACACGATACTGTATTTGTGAACTGACTTTTGACACCACATCTCTTCAAGGGTGTGTCAAGATACCTAGTGTCAAATCATGCAGATTTCGATATTATCCTGTCAACAGTTAAACAGTAATTAAGGAAAACACCACAAGTCATGTCATTATCTTATGCATGAAAAATGGCATAACATCAAATAATGCACAGTTACTTTATTCCAAAAGTATATGTAACAGAAGTCAGTAAAACTGTGCATATGAACAAAAGGCCTCATTGTCAAACTATGACAACAGTGTGTATAAAAACCACCAAGACTGTCGACCATCCAACAAAATCATTTCATGACAAAAAGGTGTATTATACAGCGACTACATATGTAAAAAGATGTACAAACAAGTAGAAGGGCCATAAACAACATAGTATATACATTTTATAACAAGGCTTGTTAGTGAACAGTTTTTAAAAAAATCTACAGCATTAACACAGTTTCACCAATATTTGAAAATAAATAAGCAATAAATTTTCAATATTGGGACTTGCACTGAAAAGTAACCTTCGAAAACAGACTTTGATCCGAAGACTCTTGCGCTACCAATAAATGCACAATTTTTCCAGATCATTTCCTCTTCCTGATCCACTGGTGTAGGTACTGACTGAGTTTGGTTTTATGCGGCTTTTAGCAATATTCCAGCAACAGCACTGGCTTCACACATTATTGCCCATGTGGGGATTGAACCATGAGCCAGCGCTTTAACCATTAGGCTGGTGTAGGAAACTACAGTTGGACACTGGTCAATTCAGGTATGGTCATGTTTCAAATAGCTTTTACTACAGTTAATTCAACCAAAGTATATTCAGTTTTAACAGATGACTTCTAGCAATGTGACCAAACAAAGTATAGTAATTTTTTTATAGTAACAAATCTTGTATATTTTTGGAAAACATCTGAATATTTTTTGACATCTTGAACAAAATAGGACTCATAGAGTCAGGTGGGTAGGTATATTTAAAAGTATTCACAGTATAGTAGGGTGGGTATATTTAAGAAAAGAGCAGTGCCTATGATGATGTGCAGGTATTGGCCCTGCTTGCTGAAACACACAAGTGTAGGGCAGTATGAGAGGCTCCAATGTGAAAAGTGTCAGTCTACAAAAGTCTACATAAATCATGAAATTAAATTACAAAATGTTACAATTCCTGGCTTGTATATATAATGTGATCAGCTGCAATGTTGACGCTCAATATGCCGTCCAGTTCACTGCCAGTAAACAAGATTTGTCATACAACAAAACTCCAAGTAAACAATTTAAGTGAGAACTAGACATAGCACTTCAAACTAAAAGTTGAATGTCAAGTGAGGTCTTTGTTTTCATGTAAACTTCCTCTGTAGTTTATTCTCACTGATTTCAAGGAAAGACACAAGTCAGGTTTCGACAGGTATGAGAACTAAAGCCTTTAAGAAAACAAACAATTTGGTTCTCCCTAGCTCTGATCACCTGTTATGCATTTCATCTACAGTCATACTGTAGCCATTTTCTGACATTTTGCAAAATTTCATGTAAAACCTACATCTACACTAACTTGGGGCACATTTTTTTCAAGATTTACAGTATCTGATCATACTCTTGGAAACAAGCTCTTCAGGTTGCCATAAAGATCTGTTACATGTATACAAGCAGTATGAGTCCATTAGGGCTGACTAAAATAATCGATAATCGGAAATATCGTTGATGGGAAAAATTATCAATGATTATCGATATGAAAATTCTAAATTATGTAAGGATGCTTTTTAACAAAAATCATTGCAAAAACACGTCACCACTCACCAATGATGTGAAATACTGCATATTCATTTCTTTCTGACATTTTTCGCATTTTCGCTCAAAGTTATATCTCTGATATTTATCGATTATCATCGATATTTTAGTTAACGATTATTGGTCGATATCAGCTATATCGCCAGCCAGCCCTAGAGTCCATACAGGCATATACACCATCCAGCACCATGTATACAATTATTGCACATCGCCAATCTTATGCAATATGAATGCCAGACAAGCAGAGGACTGAGCAGCAAACTCTGATTCTAATCATGCACAAAATGACTTCGACTGAGACATTTGAGAACAGAGTTGGACACTTTCCCAGCGGTGGCAAGAGCAAAGTATTTATACGGAGGCGGGATGTGAATCCTTGTGTGTAGACCTCCCCCGTTACCAACTCCAACTTCTAAAAGTGCTGTAGCGTGATTTTGAAAGCTGGACATCTCCCAGACGCAACCCCCCGGCCCCGCAGACACGTGGGACAGACACGGAAAGTGGCCCTCGATGCTGGATGCCCGGCACCATCGGATGTCGGACAGATCGACTTGAATGGGGAACTCCCATTGGCTCTTCTCCTTGTTGTACCCCCGCATCCATCCATCACCGTCGATGATGTAGATAGTCCCGTCCCTCACCATCACCCGCACAGGAGAAGGCACATAGGTGACAGCTGAGAATTTTTCGATTGCATTCGTGCTGGTGTCAAAGGTGTGGCCTTCTTTGATAATCAGCAAGTTCTTAGCAACATTTACAGCGATGTCTGCTTTGACAACGTATATCTTCGATCCTGAGACTGATATAAGCGAGAGTGGAGTGCTGTAGTGGTCATGTGACACTTCCGCCACTGGTTCCCATGTCAGGTGGTCGGTGAGACGGTAGTACCGCTGCTGAGTCTGATAACGGTCCCGTGTGTCCGACAACAGACGATTGGATGCCAGGACGTAGAGAGAGTTGTTAACAGCCAATGGAATGACACTGCGGACATCCCCCTCTAGACCTTCCAGGACTGGTCTGCAGTCAAGGGTCTGCCACAATCGGCTGGATAGATCAAACTGGTAGCCCCTTCCGCGGATTGGGCTCAAGAAGTATAACTTATCATGTGAACAACATGTCCGCCAGTTGCTCTTCTCATCTAGGATTCCTGATGTTAACAGATTGAAAAGGAAATGTTAAGTTATAAAAACATAAATCCATAGTATTTATCATATGCAAGGACATCATATTACACTCTTTCTACACCTAAAGAAAACCAAGTTTGTAAGATGACATATATGGACGTACAACTTCTTTATTTAAGATGATCAGCAATGTTTAGGTGTGGATTTTAAAACTGTTATAACGCAAGTTGCTTGACATCGTAAATAAGGCTGTTCTTCATCCATATGTCTTATTCTTACTTAGAGACCGTTCATAATTAATGTGGGGGTGGGGGCTGAGGGAGTGGGGGCATTGATTTTGTACATGGCAATCAGGGAGATCACTTACTTTGTACACACATTTGGGAGGGGGCATTCTCCATGAACATCATCATCACCCCAAAGCCATAAATTATGAACATTCCCTTAGTACTCCAACTTCTATATGCCGCTCAAAGAAGTTAAAACAAACTTTATTTAGGAGTGTGTGAGTGAGTGAGTTTGGAGTAAATGTACTGCTATGTACTTTATTCCAGTTACATCAACGCATGTCACGTTAATATAGGGGTGTCACTAAAGACAGCACTTAACAATTGACTCATGTTTATTATGATTATTATTTTTGACACAAAGAGGGTGTGTGTGTTTCAACCCATTTTGTTCTGGGGAGCTGGGGGGGGAGGGTGTAATCAACTTTGTACACATGTACTAGGGGGTCAGCAATTTTGTACATGAAAATATATTAAAATTTTGCTAGAAATTATGGGAAGGGAGGGGGTCACTTATTTTGTACACAAATTTGGGGGTGTCTTTCACATTGTACATGCTCCTCCATAAAAATCATCATCAGTCCCCCTAGCCATAAATTATGTACGGTCCCTAGGATAACTACCAAACCTACCTGGGAAGGTGACTGTTCCGAGACTGAGCCAGATCTTTTGTTCTGATTTATAGAAACTGACATCAAGACTTGTTGAACTCAGAATCTTCTTCTGGTCAAAGTCTACCTCGAGAATGCTCTGTACAACTTCCCGACTTGGTGCCATGACGACCACACAATCCGAAAAGCTGCCCGACATCTGATTGGTTGATTCTGCTGGCCTACTGGGCAGCTGATGATCAATGGGGACAACAGTTGTCGGTGTGAGAGGAATTGATGCCGGGGTGCTGGAATCTTCTGGAACTAGCAGACTAGTTGAGCCTGGAAACTGACTACAGTCTTGGTCAAGACTCTGAGCGCCATTGTGCAAGGAGTAGTCACCAGTGTCGTCAGGAGTCTTGACGGGGTCATCCTGCATCTCTTGGTCAGTCATAACACTTTTAACGATTTCACTGAAGTCTCTGGCTACCGTCACTGACTCATCCTTGTGAGCTTCTAGCCAGGAGTCCATCTCCTTGAGTCCCTGCTCGTCCAGACCGACACACATGCTGTGGAAAAGTTCCTTGGCTGAGGAGAGACGTCTGCTGACATCTTTGTATGCTGCCCACGAAAACAAGAGCTTCAGGATCTGACTTGAATCACAATACCTATGAATACTCCGTTGAAATAAGATGCATAGATGGTGGGGGGACACCTGCAAAACCTCTTCTTGGTATATGAAGTAGTCATGAAATCGTGATTCGAGAATTGAAAAAGCGTAAGTTTCAACTTCTTCAATGTCATACATGTCTGCCAGGACAAAGTAGTTGATGCATGTTTGAAGCTGGATGTCATTCATGAGGTACTGCACACACAGTTCCTTGAGGGAATCGATCATTAGGAAGGACACGAGTTGAGTTACAGGAGCAATGTTGCTACGGTCAAGACGCAACTGACCGGAATACAAGGAACTGATGACTGTGTCGAGGTGGGTCATTTCATCAACAGCATCACTCAAGTCCACCGTCGTCATCCCCTTGTCAGATTCAAGGAAGTTTCCAGAGAACATTCCGCTGAAGTATGGGCTGCAGGCTGCCAGGACGCTGCGGTGGACGGGAATATGTCGGCTGCTGACCGTTAGCTGGACGTCGCAGAACCGGCCCTCTTGGCGGTCCTGGTTCATCTTGGTCAGCAGGGACTCAAAATGGCTCCTTGGCAGGTGACTCTCCACCATTCTGGGGGATACACTCACATCTGAAATAGAAAGGCTGAGTTTAGTATCACATAACATTATTTGTGAATAGGCACAAGATTAAAGTTAGTCTTGATTGCTGCAGTGGTGTTTACGGACAATGTAATAGGGTGTGGAGTCCTCCCATAGATGGAGTCCTCCCATAGATGGAGTCCTCCCATAGGTGGAGTGATCCCATAGCAGGAGTCCTCCCATAGACGGATGGAGTTCTCCCATAGACGGATGGAGTCCTCCCATAGATGGAGTCCTCCCATAGATGGAGTCCTCCCATAGATGGAGTCCCCCATAGATGGAGTCCTCCCATAGATGGAGTCCCCCATAGATGGAGTCCTCCCATAGATGGAGTCCCCCATAGATGGAGTCCTCCCATAGATGGAGTCCCTCCCATAGATGGAGTCACTCCCATAGATGGAGTCCTCCCCATAGATGGAGTCCTCCCATAGATGGAGTCCTCCCCTAGATGGAGTCCCCCATAGATGGAGTCCTCCCATAGATGGAGTCCCCCATAGATGGAGTCCTCCCTAGATGGAGTCCCCCATAGATGGAGTCCCCATAGATGGAGTCCTCCCATAGATGGAGTCCTCCCCTAGATGGAGTCCCCCATAGATGGAGTCTTCCCATAGATGGAGTCCTCCCATAGATGGAGTCATCCCATAGATGGAGTCCCCTTAAAATGGAGTCCCCATAGATAGAGTCCTCCATAGATGGAGTCCTCCCATAGATGGAGTCCTCCCATAGATGGAGTCCTCCCATAGATGGAGTCCTCCCATAGATGGAGTCATCCCATAGATGGAGTCCTCCCATAGATGGAGTCCTCCCATAGATGGAGTCCTCCCATAGATGGAGTCCTCCCTAGATGGCGTCCTCCCATAGATGGAGTCCCCATAGATGGAGTCCTCCCATAGATGGAGTCCTAGATGGAGTCCTCCCATAGATGGAGTCCTCCCATAGATGGAGTCCTCCCATAGATGGAGTCCTCCCATAGATGGCGTCATCCCATAGATGACATCCTTATCATTGGTCATGTGGACAAGGCATCTGACCTCAGGATTAGAAGGTCCTGGTTCGAATACCTGCATGGGACTTGGAAATCTCCATTACACCAGCATTGCTTAATGTCCTCATGACTGGTAACAGTGTCCTTGATCACGCTAACAGCATTCTTGTCATCTAATTTACCATTTACTTTCTTTTCAAAACACATCTTGTTTACTCGTTTCACCTTAAGTATGTCTAGAATTCAAGAGAATATTGCAACCTCATAAATTTATTTCAACCTGTTAATCTGACGGCTTTAGGAGAATGAAAGCCATATTACTATACAGTTATTCGTTCTTATTGATAATCTCTGAAGAGAAATACACCAAGCTACTACATGTCAAATGTGGTTGTTCATAATCCCGCAGGTAAAGTGGGGCTTTGTTGTAAATTTCAGTTTTGGCTTGTGACACCAAAAACCCAGGCACTGCATTTTCAACATGTCTCACTCACTCATTCAGGAAGACTGGAAGATTTATCTCTTCAATTCAAACTCAAGAACTTGGCCAAAAAACAACTAGAAGATAACCCTCATCATACTGTCTCCTTTCACAAAGTCAACCTGTAGCAGGGCACGGAGTCATCCCACAGATGTTGCTGACAGAGTGCAACAGACACAATTTTAAAATTCACAGCAACAAAAGAACCATCTCAAACCTAAGTACTAATCATTGACATGACGAAGGAGCTTGATCTAACTTACACCAGGAACATGTTGACATGAAGACCTAAAGTACTGTCGGAAATAGAAAACAAGTGTCATCAGAAGATGACATATCCCCCCGGCCCCCACATCTTTGAAAGAACAAATCATCTGACAGTTACTTAAAGTCCAGCTTGATTTTAGACTAAGTGCAAATCGTTTCCATGGAAATCATGAAAAATAAAAATGACAAAAATCTGCAAATAGGCAAAATAGCAAAATATCTGACTCACATATCTGCCAAGTTTTGCTGAAAGATATTAAGAAGTTTTTGAGTTGTGCTCGAAACGAAACCTACCCTGCCCTTTGAGACTAAGTCTGAATCGTTTCCATGGAAACCAAGAGAAAAATAAAAATGACAAAATCTGCAAATAGCAAAAAGGCACCACTCCAAGATCTGCCTCACATATCTGCCATGTTTTGCTGAAGGATATTAAGAAGTTTTCGTTGTGTTCCGGAAACAAAACCTACCCCTCCCTTTTGAGACTAAGTCCGAATTGTTTCCATGGAAACTGAGAAATAATAAATCACCAAAATCTGCAAATAGCATAGGCACCACTTCAAGATCTGACTCACATATCTGCCAAGTTTTGCTGAAAGATATTGAGAAGTTTTCGAGTTGTGCTCCGGAAACGAAACCCACCCCTCCTTTTGGGACTAAGTCCAAATCGTTTCCATGAAAACGGGGAAAAATGAAAATGCCAAAATCTGCAAATAGCAAAAGGCACCACTTAAGGTTCTGTTTAATATATGTGCTAAGTTTTGTTGAAATATATTGAACGGTTCTTGAGTTATACTCCGAAACGATGCCCACCCTCCCTTTTGGGGATTAAGTCCAAATCGTTTCCATGGAAACCGGGAAAAATGAAAAATGCCAAAATCTGCAAATAGCAAAAGGCACAACTTTAGGATCTGTTTGATATATCTACCAAGTTTTGTTGAAAAATATTATACGGTTTTTGAGTTGTGTCTCGGAAATGAAAGCAATCCTTACTTTTTTGAGACTAAGTCCAAAATGTTTCCATGGAAACCAAGAAAAAAAAAATGACAAAAAATCTGCAAATAGCAAAAGGCACCACTTAAGGTTCTGTTTGATATATCTACCAAGTCTTGTTGAAAAAATATTGAACGTTTTTTTAGTTATGTCTCGAAACGGAAGCCCACCCCTTCTTTAAGACTAAGTCCAAAACGCTTCCATGGAAACCGAGAAAATAAAAATGACAATAATCTGTAAATAGCAAAGACACCACCTTACGTTATGTTTGACATATCTACCAATTTTGTTGAAAAATATCGAACGGTCTTTGAGTTATGCTCAGGGAAACAAAATGATTACGGGACGGACAGGACGGATGAGGAAGCGACGATTATATCCCACCGCATTACATGCCGGTGGATAAAACTGTATTCTCTCATTTATCTCTACAATTTATGTAGTTGATATGTGAAAGTGTGAAATATCTGTTAAACTAAGTTCGGCCTAACTACAGTCTCAGTGGTAGAGAGATAGGAAACGGAGAAAAAGCACTTTACTGAAGGGAAATTAGTGCAGAAATGAGCAATGTGGTTTTTTACCAAGTCCAAAAAGACTTATTTGGAACAGACCATGGCTTTATGCAAATTAGTGTGCTTAATGATATTGTATTACAAAGGACACTTTTAAATGCCCAATTTGAAATTAAACGTAGATTCATTATAAACGATAGCTGACATAAAAAACAAGAGTCATCAGAAGATGACATATCCCCTGCCCCACATCTTTGAAAGAACAAATCATCTGACAGTTACTTAAAGTCCAGCTTGATTTTAGACTAAGTGCAAATCGTTTCCATGGAAATCAGAGAAAAATAAAATGACAAAATCTGCAAATAGCAAAAGGCACCACTTCAAGATCTGCCTCACATATCTGCCATGTTTTGCTGAAGGATATTAAGAAGTTTTGAGTTGTGCTCGAAACAAAACCTACACCTCACTTTTTGAGACTAAGTCCAAATTGTTTCCATGGAAACCTGAGAAATAATAAATCCAAAAATCTGCAAATAGCAAAAGGCACCACTTCAAGATCTGTTTGACATATCTACCAAGTTTTGTTGAAAAATATTGAAGTTCTTGAGTTATGCTCGAAACTAAACCCACCCCTCCTTTTGGGACTAAGTCCAAATCGTTTCCATGAAAACCGGGAAAAATAAAAATGCCAAAAATCTGCAAATAGCAAAAGGCACCACTTAAGGTTCTGTTTGATATATCTACTTAGTTTTGTTGAAATATATTGAACGGTTCTTGAGTTATACTCCGGAAACGAAGCCCACCCTCCCTTTTGGGATTAAGTCCAAATCGTTTCCATGGAAACCGGGAAAAATAAAAATGCCAAAAATCTGCAAATAGCAAAAGGCACAACTTTAGGATCTGTTTGATATATCTACCAAGTTTTGTTGAAAAATATTGTACGGTTTTTGAGTTGTACTCCGGAAATGAAAGCAATCCTTACTTTTGGAGACTAAGTCCAAAATGTTTCCATGGAAACCGGGAAAAATAAAAATGACAAAAATCTGCAAATAGCAAAAGGCACCACTTAAGGTTCTGTTTGATATATCTACCAAGTCTTGTTGAAAAATATTGAACGTTTTTTTAGTTATGCTCCGGAAACGAAGCCCACCCTTCTTTAAGACTAAGTCCAAAACGTTTCCATGGAAACCGAGAAAAATAAAAATGACAATATTCTGTAAATAGCAAAAAACACCACCTTACGTTATGTTTGACATATCTACCAATTTTTTTTGAAAAATATCAAAAAAATCTTTGAGTTATGCTCCGGAAACAAAATGATTACGGACGGACGGGCAGAGGACGGGCGGAAGGACGAAGCGACGACTACATCCCGCCACATTACATGCCGGTGGGATAAAAATAATAACTTTCATGCTGAAACTATTAAGGATGTAGCTACCATGCAGTCTCACTGTCACCATAAAAAGAAACAGATAGGAGGGGTCACCTCAAAAGCAAAACCTGGGGTCGGGCTTGGGGATAGAGATATCAGCTAAGATAAGATAATCCTTTAGGGCAATTATACTGGGGAGGTACACGGCACGTCATAACAATTTACAAATAATATCCAGTCCTGTCGATCTTCGGGTGGTCCTGCCACCCATATACTATGATGCATTTCTATAGTTTTCGAGTATCATATTCTTTTACATATCTCAACATAAACTTTATGAAAGAAAGACACATAAGATGTTAATCAATAGATGAGACATA